ACCTGAGACTGCCTGATTGGGAAGATTGAAAGATCTAACTGAAAAAGGACAAAATACTGACTGAAATCTTTTTTTTTTGGCTCACCAATCTAAATGTGTATAGAAAAAAATATTTCTAACATATTCATGTAAAATGTGAGACAAAATAGCAATATATAAATCACCAAACTTAATCTGACCATAAACAGGAGGCAAGCAGCATGGATCCTGTTCTGGCCACATGTGAAAGTACTCAAAGGATTATAGTCTTTGTTTTAGGATTAAGTGCTTTAAAAAAATTGTTGAGGCACTGAAGACAATCTGAGGGCGTACTAGATTATATAGGTAACATCATTCAATAGCGAAATCAGGTTGGCAAATGAAACCCACCTTTTCTGTCCAACAGCTAATCACAAATTGAAGCAAGCTAACTTATATGTTGTGTGGGTGTGTGTGTGTGTGTGTGTGTGTGTGTGTGTGTGTGTGTGTGTGTGTGTCTTGCACTGCCTTCCAGAGTTGGGTCAAATTCATGTTGGTAGCTTCAATGACACTGTCCAACCATCTAGTCCTCTGTCATCTCTTCCCCTCTTGCCCTCACACTTGTTGGGAAGGCAATCTTTTCCAGGGTCTTTTCCAGGGAGTCTTCTCTTCTCATGAGATGGCCAAGTATTGGAGCCTCAGCTTCAGGATCTGTCCTTCCAGTGAGCACTCAGGGTAGATTTCTTTCAGAATGGATAGGTTTGTTCTATTTGCAGTCCAGGGGACTCTCAAGAGCCTCCTCTAGCACCACAATTCAAAAGCATCAATTCTTTGGCGGTCAGTCTTCTTTATGGTCCAGCTCTCACTTCCATACATCTCTACAGGAAAAACCATAGCTTTGATTATGTGGACTTTTGTCAGCAAGGTGATGTCTCTGCTTTTTAAGATGCTCTCTAGTTTTGTCATTGCTTTCCTCCCAAGAAGCAGGTGTCTTTTAATTTTGTGGCTGCTGTCACCATCTACAATGATCATGGAGCCCAAGAAAGTAAAATCTGTCACTGCCTCCATATCTTCCCCTTCTATTTGCCAGGAGGAGGGGGGCCCAGTGGCCATGATCTTCGTTTTTATGATGTTGAACTTCAGACCATTTTTTGCACTACCCTCTTTCACCCTCATTAAGAGGTTCCTTAATTCCCCCTCACTTTCTGCCATCAGAGTGGTATCATCTGTATATCTGAGGTTGTTGATATTTCTTCCAGCAATCTTAATTCCAGCTTGGGTTTCTTCCAGTCCAGCCTTCCGCATGATGTATTCTGCATATGTTAAATAAGCTGGGGGACAATATACAGCCTTGTTGTACTCCTTTTCCGTATTTTGAACCAATCAGTTGTCCATATCCAGTTCTAACTGTTGCTTCCTGTCCCACATATAGGCAGGAACTCCCATTTCTTTAAGGACTTGCCATAGTTTGCTGTGGTCCACACAGTCAAAGGCTTTTGCTTAGTCAATGAAGCAGACGTAGATGTTTTTCTAGAACTCTCTGGCTTTCTCCATAATCCAGCACGTGTTAGCAATTTGGTCTCTAGTTCCTCTGCCCCTTCGAAATCCAGCTTGTACTTCTGGGAGTTCTTGGTCCACATACTGCTGAAGCCTACCTTGGAGGATTTTAAGCATAACCTTGCTAGCGTGGGAAATGAGTGCAATTGTATGGTAGTTGGAGCATTCTTTGGCACTGCCCTTCTTCGGGATTGGGATGTAGACTGATCTTTTCCAGTCCTCTAGCCACTGTTGAGTTTTCCAAACTTGCTGGCATATTGAATGTAGCCCCTTAACAGCGTCATCTTTTAAGATTTTAAATAGTTCATTTTGGATGCCATCATTTCCACTGGCCTTGTTGTTAGCCATGCTTTCTAAGGCCCACTTGACTTCACTCTCCAGGATGTCTGGCTCAAGGACAGCAACCACACTATCTGGGTTGTCTGGGACACCCAGAGCTTTCTGGTATAATTCCTCTGTGTATTCCTGCCACCTCTTCTTGATCTCTTCTGCTTCTGTGAGGTCCCTACCATTTTTGTCCTTTATCATGTCCATCTTTGCACAAAAGGTTCCTTTAATATCTCCAATTTTCCTGAACAGATCTCTGATTTTTTCCTTTTCTATTATTTTCCTCTATTTCTTTGCATTGTTCATTTAAGAAGGCCCTCTTGTATCTCCTTGTTATTCTTTGGAAGTCTGCATTCCATTTTCTGTAACTTTCCCTATCTCTCTTGCATTTTGTTTCCATTTTCTTCTCTGCTATTTGTAAGGCCTTGTTGGACATCCACTTTGCTTTCTTGCATTTCCTTTGCTTTAGGATGTTTTTTGTTGCTGCCTCCTGTACAATGTTACGAGCCTCTATCCAAAGTTCTTCAGGCACTCGGTCCACCAAATCGAGTTCCTTAAATCTGTTCTTCACTTCCACTGTGTATTCATAAGGGATTTGGTTCAGATTATATCTAAAATTTTGCGGCCAGAGGTGGTCGTAACTCAAAATGGTCATCAGTCAGGACATTTGTAAGTCGAGACACCACTGTAGTATGTTGCTATTCTGAAAGTCTCCCAGAGATCTTGTTAAATGAGTGGTTTGGGATATAACAGTTAATTAAAAACTCATGTGTACACTGATGTGGTGTAGTGGATAGAGTGACAGAGTAGGACTCTGGAGACCATGGTTTGAATCTCCACTTAGCCATCTAAACTGTCTGGGAGAGTAGAACTGGTAAACACACTCCCTAATATCTCACTTACATTGAAAGCCCTATTTGGGTCATTGCAAAGCAAAGCAAAGTGTATTGGTTATCCTGCAGTGCTTAAAGCACTCTCTGGACAGTTTACAATTTAATTATGCAGGTTAGACAGTGTGTCTCTCCCCCTCCCCAAAAGCTGGGTACTCATTTACTAATCTTGGAAGGATGGACGGCTGAGTAAACCTTGAGCCGGCTACCTGGGATAGAACCTAGGTCATGAGCAGGGTTTTGGCTGCAGTACAGCAGTTTTAACCACTGTGCAGTGAGGCTCCATTCAGTTCCAATTTAACAACACAATATAAAAGTTAAAGGGGCTGGGGTAATTTTATAGAGATGTGTTTGCAGATGTACAGGGAACATTTATCAATTTTATATCAATGAAGAGGAAGGGATGAAATCCAAGAGTCTATACTCTTTTGAAAGGGGAAAGAGACTCCAGAAATGTGAAAGATACAGGTGGCCACTCCCAAATGGTTTCTAAGTTGGAGAGCAGTGTATATATCAATATAGATATTTATATTTGTTTTTCCCCCTCTTTTAAGATTTTTCTTAGATTTTTGAATAACTTTTGAATAACCTTTGAACTGTAGAGCTGGAAGGGACCATCAAGTCCAGCCCCTCTCAAGGAGACACAGTGGAAAATTGAGCTCCCAACCTCTGGCTCTGCAACCAGAGACCTAAGTCACTGAGCTATCCAGTTTTAAATGTTTATTAGATGTTTCATATTTTGTTTTTATCTGTCTTTTAATAGTTTTTTTAATGAAAGCCTCCTGGAGATGTAATTCACCTTTTGAATACATTACCCCCTCTTCCTCTGGAACATTTAACACTAAAGAACACCAATTTTCAATGAATAATCTTGACTTCTAGTTTTCTCCTCCAACCACACATTTTCTTGTACATTGTTTCTATCTATGCAGATCCTAGAGAAATGGCTAACTCCAGGTTTAGAGCCACATCTCCTAAGCAAATGTAGCAACAGCTAGGGTGGTGTTTGCATTTTACAATTATCACTGAACCAATGCAAAGTGACAACTTGAGACCCAGCACCGGAGCTAACAAATGCAGGGTTTCACTCTCATGCTCAACTGGTAGGTGCCTGACATACCCACCCACTCAATATATAGAAAGGAGTGGAGAGAAAATGTTGTGGAACTGATCAGAAGATGATTCCTGCAATATCCAAGAGCTACCTGATACATCATAGTACCCAGATATGTCATGGGATTATAAGTGACAGGATGCATAGCAGGAACAATTTGCTACAGTTGCCTCACATAGAACCCGTCTGTTCTACCAGCCAATAGCGCACAAAATTCATAATCCTGCATTAAAACCCAATAACAACTTTCTTTACCGCCCCACCTCCCCCAACTGTCTTGTTAACTCTGAACTGAAGCATTTTCTTCCTCTGGCAGTTTATATATGTTTTAATACAGAACAGCAAATGTATTGCAGCTTTAAAAAAATAAATAAGGAGTAAAATGAAAACTGAGAAACTAAAAAAAAAAAGTGCTGAAAAAATAATGATATACCTACTGAGGTTAACTAATCAAAGGACTGTGATCAGTGCTATTTTCCTTTAAATGGTAAGAAATTATAAATAAGAATTTGTGGCAATTAGTGGTAAATATCCGACTATTAGTGTATTTGGAATTGTACATCAGATTGCTAAGGATCTGATCTGAGGCTGTGAAATAGTCTAAAAACTATTTATAGTACTGATCATTGTTTTTACTATTATTCCGTGTGCCCTAAATTAAATATGTTTAATTGTCATTAATAATGGTTTATTCATGGTGATATGGGTTCTCTGCTCTAGAAAGAACTTGGCCATCAGAGGCCAAACTGCATAACTTGCACTTTGACATAGGTACGCAGAAGTCTCACACAATGGAGAAATAATCAGCAAGGCATAATAAATATCCCACAGTGGAATCAATATCCCTACATTTGTTCCACTTGTTCTCTGTTTGTTGAATGTAAGCATGCTATATTATTAATAACTACATTTTCACAATAGTTTCAAAAGGGCAAAAGTTCAGGCTTGCAATTTACCTACATTTTGAATGCAGATATTATCTTCCAAATCGGAGTTTTCACAGCAATGTGATCAGACTTGAAGGCCTTTGAAGAACAGACTAACATAGTTAACAAGTCATTGCTCCTATTAATAGACCAAAGTCCCTTTTGCAATGTCAACTGTAATATTAATCCTTGTTTCAAATCACAGGGCCTCAAATATCAGCTGCTGCTACTTGGACGGGTCTCTTTTGGTTTACATCAGAGAACCCAATGGAGTCTTTTGAAGAACCTGGTCTTATTAGCAGGGAGAACTTATTAGAAGTTCCTACTTTAAGTGATTCCCCCCCAGAAGAAGAAGATGTTAAAGCTACGCTCCAGCCTCGTTTTTCACCCAGCCCCCGAAGGCGAAATTCAGATTCCTCTGAAGAAATGGAGCTGGAGGCCCCATCAACCGTTACAAGAAAAGTTTCATTTGCTGATGCATTTGGTTTTGACCTTGTATCCGTTAAGGAGTTTCATAGCTGGGATGTTCCAAATACATCACCAAATGATGACTTAGAAGATGAAGTTGTAGCTGTGGAAGAATTCTATTTGACTCCGCTATTTACACTGCCAGCCACAGAAGAAGAGCTTTTGCAGAAAGTGCGAGCACAGAAATTATGGTTAGAGTCTGTCGAGTTTCTACCAGGGATAACATGTATGAAGGGCACAATCCGTGTTCTGAATGTATCCTTTCAAAAGTTGGTCTATGTTCGAATGTCTCTGGACAGCTGGCTGACTTACTATGACATCTTAGGAGAGTATGTGCCGAATTCTTGTGATGGTGAGACTGACCAGTTTTTATTCAAGATTACATTGGTTCCTCCTTATCAACGAGATGGCACAAAGGTTGAATTTTGTATACGGTATGAGACATCTGTGGGGATATTTTGGGCAAACAATGACAACCAGAATTACATTTTGATCTGCCATAAAAAGGAAACCAAACAACCTGAAACATCATTGGAACCTAAGCAAGCCCAAGAAGAAATTACAGATAAACATCTCAAAGGCTGCTTAAAGGCAACACCAAACAGGTGAGGCTATATTTGACCTTTGCTTGACTTTTACAAACCGTCTTTCAGGTAGTAGTACCCAAGTTCTTAAATGATCTAATAGCTTTCGTTCATCTGTTGATGTTGTTAACTGATTTACTTTCTAACTATGCTGTCATCTGTAGTTTTAACATCAAAAGGGCACGCTTGTTTCTATATTAGCAAAAACAGAATGTATATCATTGTCAAGCATTATTCAGATAAATTAACTTTCTGAGGCAATTTAATTGGTCTAGGGGAGAATATTATCTAGCTGAATGGTGGCAAAGCAGCATGAAAAACAGACCAGTAGGTTTCTGCAGCTGACTCACTGATACTCCCAGAAACCCCAGCCAGCACAGTTGGTGGTGAAGGCTTCTGGGAGTTGCAGTCCAAAACTCCTGAGTAACCCAAGGTTAAGAACCAGTGATCTAGCTGAATGGTGGCAAAACAGCCTGAAAAACAGACCAGTAGGTTTATGCAGCTGAATCAGCTCACTGATAGCAGACACTGAAGACGTCTACACTCAGCACATCATGCTATCTAGGGGACTTTGGGATAATTTATTTTAAAAAAATAGCTTCTCCCACCTCTTCCCTAACATCTACTAAATTCCATCATTGAGTGAAAATTCCTCAAGGAAAATTGCAAGCGCATCCAGCTGAGTACAGCTGCAGTTCCTGAATGGTTCGGGGAGAAGCTTTATTTTAAAAAAATAGCTTCTCCCGCCTCTTCCCTAACATCTACTAAATTCCATCATTGAGTGAAAATTCCTGAAGGAAAATTGCAAGCACATCCAGCTGCAGTTCCTGAAGGGTTCCTGATGGGGAGAAGCATGACTGTGTTCAGCAGAAGACAGTTAAAAATCTCTCTATGGACCTACCAGCTGATTAGTGGATGCCAGATGGAGGGCTGGGGTCAGGGTCTGTGACTTGGAAACCTTTCATTTTTAGGCTTTTAAAGGGCCACATAGGGCTGGTGACTGCTTAAAATGTGGATCACATTTAGATTGCGAAACTGGATGCATCTTCATATTTTTTTTTCATGGATGTTTGTCACAAACTTGCACTCTTGCTGTACCATCTTGGAAGCTGAAATGAAAAGAGTTAAAATGCTTTAAAATCATTTGAAACGATATCCGCAACATAAGTTACATTTAGAGTAAAGGTGGCAAAGCACCACCAAAGTTGTTATTTAAGGTCTTGGGGCTGTCAGGCTCCCTCACCAATAAGTTCTTCTTTCAAGGAAAAAAAAATAGGTGTATTGTTTACACTTGAAACCATCAGGAGCTGCAATTTGCTTTTAATTAGGTCAAAGCTCCCAACATCATTTTAATTTTTGTCTTTTCAAAACTGGAAGGGAACTTTGTTCTTTCCATCATTGTCGTCATCCATAATACTCTGTGAGCTCCCTCCCTTAGAGGATGCCAGGTCAGAAAATTGTTTCTCAGACCCACCAAAGTTGCTCACTCTTGCACTACAGCCTTGCTCAACAAGAAGTGTATCTGGTGGGCACACTGAGATGGGACCAGTAGTGCATCATTGTTCAACCACTTTGCCATCCACTATGTTTTTTTTTTTGCTGCGCATTATATTCCCCCCCCCCCTTTTACCTCTAGATCAGATGAGTTTGAATGGGTGGATGCAGCACTCATTGGGATTACAGATTCACTCTAGGATTCTTCAATTGCCTACCAAGTCACTCGAAAGCCCTGCCAATTAATATTTACAGGAATTTAGTATTTTAGCAGTAAGTACACTTGAAACCATCAGGAGCTGCAATTTGCTTTTAATTAGGTCAAAGCTCCCAACATCATTTTAATTTTTGTCTTTTCAAAACTGGAAGGGAACTTTGTTCTTTCCATCATTGTCGTCATCCATAATACTCTGTGAGCTCCCTCCCTTAGAGGATGCCAGGTCAGAAAATTGTTTCTCAGACCCACCAAAGTTGCTCACTCTTGCACTACAGCCTTGCTCAACAAGAAGTGTATCTGGTGGGCACACTGAGATGGGACCAGTAGTGCATCATTGTTCAACCACTTTGCCATCCACTATGTTCTGTTGGGGTTTTTTTGATGCACATTATATCCCCCCCCCACTTCTTTTGCCTCTAGATCAGATGAGTTTGAATAGGTGGATGCAGCACCCATTGGGATTACAGATTTACTCTAGGGTTCTCCAATTGCCTACCAAGTCACTAGAAAACCCTGCCAATTAATATTTACAGAAATTTAGTATTTTAGCAGTAAGGATAATTCATGATCTAAACAATGTAATTTTGATTGCTCTGTTGAAGGCAAGAATTGAGGGTGGGTTGGACAGAGAAAAAGCAAAGCACCAAGATTTCCTGCCCATGGCTGATTTGTGTTTTAATGGAAAGCCTAGAAAGCTATATATACAGAACAGAGAACAAAAAAGTTACTTTTATGTGCTACAGCCCCCAAAATCCTGCAGCCAGACTAAAGGACTGGGAGAGACGTAGTCCAAAAAGCATAGCTTATCTTATCTCTCATGCAAATGAAATCCTGAATTCTTTAACAGCATCTCTCTGCACTTCAAAAAATTCAGTAATATTTTTGCATTCTTGTGAAATAAAGATCTAGCTTCCCCAGGGACTATGTTGTTTCTATCATAACCTACTTAGTTTCTTTCTTTGTTTTTAATCATAGAGACTTCCCTCCCCCGCCAAAAATTGCAGTAATGTAAAATTACACACATGGCTGTTTTTTTCTAGTGGTGGGACAGTCTGTTAGCCTGCTTCTGTCTGTCATCGGGGTGGCGCCATGCTTGAGCCCTCAAAGATTAGCAGGGCCCAACAAAAAGATCTATGGGTGCTGCGGTCTGGGGCAGGTAGCTGGGACCTTGTCACTCTTTAGATTTCCCACAGTGCTCAGTTATAGCACCACTCAAGAGCAATATGGAGATTGAGACCAGTAGGGCAAGGAGTACAGGTATCATCATGAACCAGAGAAGGTAACACCAATACTATTTGCACTGGTCATTGTATGGGTCTCAGTGTTCAAAAGTGCTACCTAAAGAGATACTAGTCTGGGAGGCTGCTACGAGTAACAACTGTCTAGGAACGGAGATGTAATAAAAATGTACAGCAGTATTTGTTTTGGGCTTTTCACATTATTTGGGGCCCCATGGAAGCAAAGGGGCTGCCCCAGATCATAGTCACATACTTTCAGTTACTATGGCATAGCTTTGTGATCTGTGCTCTTTCAAAAGAAATGGCTTGCAGCTGTTTTCCAACTTGGAGTTTCAGTTTCAGATTATGTGTAATTTAACGTCTTTGCAGTTCAAGCTGGCCCATGTGAAAAGTCTCTGAAGGAGGAAAGCACTAAAATGTCTGCAATTCTAGATCCATTCCATTACAAGTTGAAGGTATATGAGCAATAAAGTTCTTAAGACTATACAAGGGTTTTGTTTGTTTATTTTCTTTTTAGACACGCGACTGGCTTAGGCATCGAACAGTGCGCCTTGCCATCTGGACCTCAGTGTTTGCAGAATTTCATATGGGAAGCTAGACAGTAATTATAGGATCTTGTTTGTTGAAATTCTCAGGTTTTTTTTTAAAAAAAGTACTTGTTTACATGATTGTGTGAAGTTTGTGGACAGTGAAGAAGATTATAGTTTGCCAAGTCAGTACCATCCCATTCCAATGGGGCCAAACCTGAGGCTTGGGGTGTGATGTCATCGGAGGTGGGTCCTTGTGATGGCTGCAGGGGGAGTTCCATTCAGTAACAACTGCAAAACAGGACGTGTGTGACAGAAACAGACCATGTGGAGGCACAACAGTGAGTTTAAAGTTTAACAAAGAAGTGCTACCCTGGGTCTGTCTCCCAGAATCAGTTGGGGAAGTTTGCCAGTTGAAGACTACAACATGCAATGGGACGCTAGGGCATTGCTAAAAAGAAAAGCAACACTCTCTTTAAAATCAAAGGTGGTGGAGGAATACTCCACTTGTAGAGCTCTGGTGACTGGCAGTGGGCCAGGATAAACCTGCGAACCAGATCAAAGTCAGCAGCATTCCACTCCTTGAGACTTCAGGGTGAAAGCCTGAGACCTGACAGCCTTAGAAGACAGTGTGTGCAATAGCTTTAGTACCTTTGTTACCACTATTACAGGTCCTCACTCTTCCTCTCTCCTACTCACCCTCTTCCTCCGCTCATGAGGTGCCACACAGATATAGATTTAAAAAGCACAATCTTGTCTTTAGCAAATATGCCAACATTGGTCTAAACCATATATTAAAATTTGCATGCCTATGTACTTTAGGAGATGGCTGGGTATCCTAGGGGCTTAGGTGTCTGACTGTGGAGCTTGGCAATTTAACTCCCTTCTGTGCCTCCTGGGAGAAGAATCAGCCTGTGTGGCCTTGGGCAAGCTGCACAGTCCGAGGGCACCCTCATGAGGTGGGAATGATAAACCATTTCTCTACCTAAAAAAGAGAATTGACTTGATGGCACATAATAATTATTATTCTGTACATTAAGGCAGAGGATTTTAGCCAAGCCTTTTTTTTTTTTTGCACTGTGCTTATTTTACACACGTAGGGAGATAATATATTTGCTTGAAGCTGTTCTCCATTGTTCTGGGTATCAATTCTTCCTTACTGCCTTGTTTTTTTCTGAGCTCACAGTCATACCCTTCTTGTCTGGTTCACTCCTCCTGCCATTTCTTTACTTTCACCTTGCTTTTTGCCAGCACTCTGTGTCCTAAGCCCAATCCAAAGTCCTATAACATCTCAAATACCTTATTTTGAACTAGGGATGTACACTGGAGAAGGTAATATAAAGCCAGAGACACAAAGAAAAACCTATGATTTGAAGAACCAGAAAATCCCAGTGTTCATTTTCAGGAAGCATTTTATTTTATTTTACACCTTGCCAAAGCCTTTAGCTGACAATGCTGAACAGCTGTTGATCAGGAGCTCCCTTTAATGGATTTTTTCCTATCTAAATGCTTGTTCTCCACCTCGTCATTAATGCTTTTACCTGG